CAAAGAAAAGTAAAAGTAGTGCCAAAACCTTGAAATCTATTTTTTTAAAAAGTGTGGATGAATCAAAATTTAAAGTGGAGTCATTTGCTAAGTTTTACCTTCCTTTTTTTTTTTTTTTTTTGCCTAAAAGTGTAAACCTTAGGCAGTGGATTTTTTCTAAAGGAGAGTTGAGAACCTAGTCATCAACACAAGGATATCAGGATACATAAGAGATCTGCTCCTTTTGAAGAGCATTTCTACTTGGTGCTGATGAATTTATGCCTTGCTTTTTCTAGATGTTGATTTTTCAATTTCTTGCATAGTTATAGAAGTAGAAAAAATGTTTCATCTTTCTGAGTACTACTTGGCTGCATTTTTAAAAGCTTATTAGGAGTATTGTACAAAGATCTTAATTTAAGTTTGAATGATTAGGACATAAAAGACCTAGCTGAACTAATTTCATCTGAATGAATGTACACTTTTATTTTTTTCATCCCATGCAAAAGGAATTTTTTCATAATCAAAACTTGAACCAGAGTAAATATTACAGGAAAGCTTTAGGGTTGATGTTATTCTGGTCAAGAGACCTTGAGAAAGAATGGTACCAATTACATGACTCTAATGAGTGGAATCTGAAAATATGTTTAATGTTCTTCTTTGATTTATTTAATCATTTGACTTTTGAACCCAAGATTTATTATCTTTTTCTTTTGCTATTTGACATCATCCTGGTTTTTCTAACTGTACAGAATCTAGATTAATTTATTATCAGAAAATAAATGCATTTTTACAAAAACCTTTTTTATAATTTTAGTTTACTGATTAGTTTAAGTCCCTCAGTACCAATAAAAGATATTGTTGGTAAAAACAAAATAATTGAAACTACTGTTTTTCCTGTTTTATTTAATCCCCTCTTGTATATTTACTGAACTTTAATTGAAAATATTTCTGTACATTAATTTGAAGCCAGGATATTGATACAGCTACTGATACACCTCTTGGTGGTTTTAACTAGCATTATAAAATGGTACTGTTCATTATATGTATTTTTTAAAATATTTATGAAGAATATTAAAATATTTATTTCGAATTTGCAAGGCAGTTTGGTACCTCTTTCCCAGGCCTTCCTAAATTTTCCTTTAGCCAAGCCTTAGACTTTAGTGTAGTTCTCTGTTGGTCAGTCATCTGGTTCATAAGGAAGCTGAGCAGTGAAGAACCATAAACCTAGCCCTGAAGTTCATTGCCTAGTAGCTCTGATGGCAACCTGGGCTTGTCAATACAGTAATAGATCAGAAAGTCACATTACAAAAGCCAGTGCGTATTGGGTATAATAGACCCCAGAAAAGAAAAGGAAAATTGTATAAGGGCTCAGGCTAGCAGATAAAGAGGTCTTTCATGAAGCAGATTTAAAAGTTCCCCAGTTATGCTAGTTTTTGCTTTCAGCCTTTGGGCAAGTTCATATGCCATTGCCAGATCTGAACCAGTGTTCTCTTGTATGACTATAACCATATTTCAGTCAATCTCAAAAGCATTTGATTCTATAACACTTAACTAGACTGGCTACAACTGACTGGATGTAGAGAATAAGTCTCAAAACCTGGTTTCAGTTGTGTATTTCTCCTATCTAATGAAGTTTTTGTATTACAGTGTTAGTCTAGCTATGGTTACTGGTATATTTCTTATATTTATTTTTGTGGTGAAGGAGATTTTGATCTTATTGTTTCTAAGATTATTCAAAATGTTTTTTTCTTTAACATTTCTGCTTTTGTCATGTGTATAAAGTTTAAGAGCATGAAGATTTCCATTTCTGGTTTTATTTTACAGTAGCCATTTAACATACTAAGTTAGATGACTAGCTACCCATAAAATATGAACTACTCATAAGAGAAGTAAAGTAAATGGAACATATTATGTATGGGCAGTGAGCAGCATAGCCTTGAAAGACCTGACAATGGTGTGAAAAGATAAATAGTGGAATCAATATGCATAGTCTCTTTATTAAACACACATTCTTTGAGACAAGAAATGAGAGTCAGGCTGAAGGAATCATGCATTTAAAAGATGATTATATTCATAGGTATAAATAGATGAAATACTCAAAGATGGCTACTTAATTGTGAGATCTGTTACTTTAACCTCAGATGTTCACAGCGCCTACCAAAAAGTGATGTAAAATAGAGCTAAAAATTTGAAGTTGTAAATGAAAAAAAAAAAAGTGGAAATTTGCATATTCTTCAAGATATATTTTTAGGTGCTTTCGTGTGATTTTCCCACATAGTTATTAAAGCCACTGCTTTATTATATTGCACTGTCACTTTAAAAACAAAATAATTTCACTTTATTCTGTGTAACTGATTTTTTTTAAATGTTTGAATAAACTTTATACTCCCTTTAAGGAGTATTATTTATTCTCCTAATTTGCAAATGTATTTTGAACTTAAAATGCTGTTAAATGCTTAGATAAGAGATTGTTGGAAGTCATATAAACTACTCTGGCAATTGGTAAACATGAGAATTTTTTGTTCCTTTTTTTCTCCGTGTGGTATATGATAGAGAATGCATTTAGAATCTAATTCATATCTTATCTGTTAAGAATGTTTTCTGTGGTTTCTCATTTTAGACTTTTAAAGAAATTATTGGGATGTCATTGGCTCTTTTTCCTCTTTATGTGGAGTTGCAAGTGGCAATAAAATTTTAATATTAATTTTTTAAAAACCATATATAAATCTGTGTAGTGAAACTCTAGCAAATCAAAGTAATAAATTATCACGTACACTCCCAAATACTGAGATCAAAGAGCTGGGTTTATATTAGTGCTATTTATTGACTAAAATATATTGCATGTATCTATTATGAATAGGAATTTCTTTCTATAAGGTCTGTGTAATGTTGCTTCTCATTGCTTGCTTTTATAGAATCTTATCAAAATGATGTAATTGTTTCTCCATCCCTCAAATACAAATCAATTTAGTAGGTTGGCTGCAATATTTTTTTCATAAAAGGGATCTTTTTGTTTAACCAAAAATAGGAAGATTTTCATTACTCTTACAAGAAGAGTTAAAGGCAACTGATGTCAGTTTTTGCACCAGTCTTAATGACTGATTAAGCAATTGTCTCTTCAGCAACTGCAGACTTGTACTATATAGAAATGACATTCTTTATGCATTAAGATGAATCTTATCCTTCCAAGTAGTAACCTTGTGATGCTATAATTTGGATGTTTGTCTGTTTGTTTGTTTGTTTGTTTTGAGCAATGTTGCCATTGCTAAGAACTTTTCTGAAACTCCTCTTTGAAAATAGCATGAAGAGTTCATTTGCGAGTCATCCCAGAGAACTGGTCTCACAATAGTCATGTTAATTTTGAACAAGGTCTTAACTATTGCCCTGTGTACTTTATTCATTAGACTGGATTCATAATATTTTATGACTGTCACATGTGAAATCTCCCCTCAAAGAATTAAGATTTTCCTCCACAGAAAAAAATTTTTTTTCAAAAGCAGACAGTTCCAGTGGAAGATTTCTAAATTACCCTTAATTACCAATAGTAACTTCAGCAAAAGAAGTAGATGGCTTTTTTGAGGGGCAACCTTATTTGAATGCAAAAATTCTGGTGGTTTTTGTTGTTTTAACAAACCACTCTTCCATTATCATAATGGTTCAGGCTAAATTCAGTCTATCTGAATAAACTCTTTAGAATATAAGAGGTTTCTTAAATTTAGTTTAGTGGTCATGGGGAGTATTAATAAGTATAATTTTTAAAATGTGTAGTCCGTACCAGTCACTTTATAGTTACACTTTAATCTCTACAAATAATTCTGCATTTTACAATTAAAAAATAGATTCAAAGATATTAAGTAACTTGTCCAAGATCCACAACTAATCAGTGGTTGACCAGTGTTCCTTGGGACTGAAAAATTCCACCATTCTGCCTAACCAGCTATAACTCTGCTTTCACAAGGTAGTATGTGTACATTTAAGGGATGGTGATTTTTTTATTATCACAGTCTCTCTTAACAGTATAAAAGTATTTCTGGTCACTATATATTTTTTTGTCACTTATTTGATTGCAATATAATTGACGTAACAGTTTCAGATATATAGCATAATGATTCGATATATGCGTGTATTGTGAAATGATCACAGTAAGTCTAATTAACATCTGTCACAACCCATAAACTTTGTGTGTGTGTTGAGAAATTTTAATATCAACTCTCTTAGCAACTTTCAAATATATGATACAATATTAATTATAGTCACAATGCTATATATAACATCCCCAGGACTTACTTTATAACTGGAAGTTTATACCTTTTGACTCCCTTCACCCATTCCCTACTCCTGCCTCTGGGAACCACTGGTCACTATATTTCTGTATATAGTACTTGGTACATATATAAAAATCTATGCAACATGTAAGTTATCAAGCATACTAATAAAACACCTGTGTAACCACTCCCTAATTAAGAACTAGAACATTTCTGGTAGGGTCGATCCTACGTTTGTGTTCCTTCTCAACTCCAATCCTCAGTCCACCCTTCTCCCCAAGAGGTAAGTAGTATCCTGAATCATTCCCTTTGCTTTGCTGCTGCTGTTGTTTTATACATATATCCCTATGCTACATAGTTTACTTTTGTTGGTGAGCGTTATAAAAATAGTATTATACTATATGTAGTCTTATGTAATTTGATCTCTTTTGTTCAACAGGTTCATTTTTATAACCTGTGTTGAGTATAGTTTCTTCTTTTCTCTTTTTAGCCAAGCTTTTACAGTACTAACATTAACATTTATTCTTGGTACACATGTACAAGAGTTTTTAAGAGTACGTGCCTAGAAATAGAGTTGGTTGTAGGTATGTGCCTGATCAGCTTTATAACAGTTTTATAAGATAATGCAGACTTTTTTCCCAGAATGGTTGTGCCTTAATTTGTATTTTCTTGATTGTTGATTGAACATATTTCTGTGAT